TTCTTAATCCCTTTGCCTTTTTCACCAAGCCCCCCAATCCCTCTACCTCTGACAGCTGTCAGTCTGTTCTCTGTATCTATGATCTGTTTCTATTTTGTTTGTTCTTTTGTTCATTAGATTCAACATATACTAGTAAGTGAAATCATGGGATACTTTTCTTTCTCTGACTGACTTATTTTGCTTAGCATAATACTCTCCAGGTCCCTCCATGCTGTCTCAAGGGGTAAGAGACTCTTCTTTTTTATAGCTGCATAGTATTCCAGGGTGGTATTATTTTGAAATAATATTGCTACAAAAGATGTCTGAGATTTTGCTGCCTATGGTTTCTTCTAGGATTTTTATGGTTTCAGGACTTACAGTTAAGTCTTTATCCATTTGAGTTTATTTTTGTGTATGGTAGAAGTCGGTGGTCTAGTTTCATTATTTTGCTATGTATGGAACCACAAAAGACTCCGAATAGCCAAGGCAATCTTGAGAAAGAAGAACAAAGCTTGAGGAGACTGGCTTGACTCCATTGTATGCTCTTGCCTCCTTTGTCAAATATTAATTGAGTGTCATGGCTTGGGTTGATTTCTAGGTTCTCTGTTCTGTTCCGTTTATCTATCTCTCTGCTCTTGTGCCAGGACCACTTCCCATGTCTTTTTAAAAGAGTACCTTTTTAGGTATTTTGTAGAGTGTCCCTCCATCTGTCTGGTGATTAGACTGAAGTTACAGATTTTTGGGAAGAATACCAGAAGGTGATGTGCCCTTCTCATATTCTATCATGAGCTACACAGTATCAGATATATCTTATTACTGGTCACTTGCTTATGATACTCTCTGCCAGGTTTCTCCACTATAAAGTTACTATTTTTCCTGTTCTGTAGTTGGTTTTTTTAGAATCAAAATTATTGCTTTTTAAATTTTGATGTACATCAGTGTGCATGGGACTCATAGTTTGGCAACACCCTCAATCTTTTTTTTTAACACCCTCAATCTTAATTGTAATCATAATAATAACAGCTAAACACATGTAAATTACCTGATTTAATCCTTAGGATATCACTGTGAAGGAGCACTTTTTCATGCCCATTTTTCAGTGGAGAAGACTGAGGTACAGGGAGTCTTGCCTAAGGTCTAGTTAGTGATAGAGACGGATGCTGACTTAGCCTAACTTGAGGGCTAGCTTTTCACGTGGGCCCTATGCTTGTTGTCAGAGCTTAGAATGCGGACGTTCTCATTCTTTGCCAAGGAAAACAAATGAGTACTTCCTACGATTGACAGTTCTCTCTTGTGCTTTCTTTAAGAAATATTTTCGTTTGTTTGCTTTTGCCTTCAGGAAGATTCCTTGCGTACCTGATTTTAGTAAGCTCTGCCTGGCAGTATCACCTTAAAATCTTGGAGAAACCCAGGCTACTTTGAGGAGCACTAAGGATCTATTTTTAGACTTCATTCAGAAATATGACTGCAGGTTAATGCGGGCAGAGTATTCAGAATAGAAATCTGCTTTTGGAGAAGGAGTGCTTACCTACAGAAAGGCACCGAGCCCTCTCTCCTCCTGGATTTTATCGGCCTCTCCTAACGGGTGTGTCGTGTTTGTCGGTGTGTGTCTAAGCTCCACTTGTTCACTTTTGTTGACCGCACTAATGACTTTCCTACTACGCAGTCAAATGTGTCTCTGAATAGCCTGACTCCAGGGATGCTAAGTGTGGCTAAACGGTGACTCAGTATCTGTGAGCCTCTATTGTAGTGGCAGTGGGACCACTGTGTGGGTGGACGTTTGTACATCTTCCTGGTGACTCACTCTGCAGCCTGCCTTTCTGAGGAGAAGTAGCTGTAGGTGGCTGCAAAGTTCTACTCGGCTTCTGCCTCCTCTGTCTCATCATACTGTGCAGATCGGGTATCCCCAAGTACTTGAAATCAGTCAGTTCGGTGTCTTGAATGTACCTAGTCTCCCAAGCTGTCCACAGATCAGCACAGTTTTTAAAAACAGAAGTGTTTTGTTTCTAAATGTCTGTTGTAGGTCTGGCCATAAGGGCCAGAGTCCACAGGTTAAACAAAACACGGCTCATCACCCAGAGACAACCTGGGCAAGCATACTCGCAAGAATTGTAGCATTTATTTCCCTTGGAAGGAGGAAAGCAGCTATTTATTTATTTATTTTTTATTTTTTATTTTTATTTTAAATATATTTTATTGATTTTTTTACAGAGAGGAAGGGAGAGAGATAGAGAGTTAGAAACATCGATGAGAGAGAAACATCGATCAGCTGCCTCCTGCACATCTCCCACTGGGGATGCGCCTGCAACCCAGGTACATGCCCTTGACCGGAATCGAACCCGGGACCCTTCAGTCCGCAAGCCGACGCTCTATCCACTGAGCCAAACCGGTTTCGGCGGAAAGCACCTATTTAGAATAAGCCTGATTCTTGCATACAATAACCCATAAATTTTATGAGTAGAAAATTATTGGAGGGATTAATAAGAAGAGGTGAAGTTTATAGGTGTGTGGATCTGGCCTCAGAAGTTAGAAGACTAAGGATTTTTATTTTTCTCAGATATGGTTTTCTACACATCCATTATAGAGAAAGTGTGAGGTATGAGAAAATGTAAGGAAGAAAGTGAAAACATCCTATTTTTATCACCAGAAATAGCCACCCTTTTGTTTTGCATAATTTCTCCTTTCCTTCCCTCTCTCATGCTGCAAATATATTTGTAATCCTGCATTTTTTACGTAATACTATATCATAAAAAATTTTTTTTCCATAATTTAAAGAAAAAGACTTTGCTAGTTTGATGGGAGAAAAAGAACTAATTTTAATTGGCATTCCCTTAATATTTTAGTTAGGATTAATAGGATTGTTAGTTTATTTATTGCCAGAGATTGCCAGGTTTTCTGCTCTGTATCTTTTCACAAAATTGGAACTGTTACTAAAGCAAGCCTCTGATTTCAGATGTCCTAAACGATGCTATATTTGATGAAGATCACGATGAGATGGTGATTGTGAAGGACATAGATATGTTTTCCATGTGTGAACATCATCTAGTTCCATTTATTGGAAAGGTAAGGTTTTCTCTGTTGTTTCTTAACAATTTAAAAAAACACAAAGCTTTAAAATTAGGATAATTATATTT